CCTTCTACAGCAACACAAGCATCTGCCTCGTGTGTATGTCCCCAGACTACAGCAGGCACTGTAAGCTTACAGGACGCTGGCTCCACGATCTTACGCACCAATGATGCACTCTGTCGTCCCCCCTCGACATGGCTCACCACCTCACCAAACACTGAAGCAGTCACCCTTCCATGCCTCTGGTTAAGCCACTCCTTCGATCCTCCCTGATCCACAGTAGCTCGCTCGACGTTCCCTATCACATCACTCGGGTACATCTTCTTCAGTTTGTTAACCAGCATCTCACAGTACTTCCTCGATGGCTCAGCATCACTAGGAGCTATCTTCTTCAAGATGGAGAACATCTTGTAGATGGGATATGGCAGCTCAGTCCTGCCATCCACAACATCACCACTGACTGGCAGAGAGCTTTGCAGCGCACACCCAGCAGGCAGATCCTGCAGCTCTGTCTGAAATGCAGCATCAGACATGATGAACTCGACGCTGCTTCGCTTGGCAGGAATGCCCATGTCTGCTGCAATGTCAAGGACCTTGCTGGGCTCCACCTTCTTCGTAGCTGTCTGATGATTCCATTGACAGGCCTTGCTTGTTGGTGCATTCTCTGTCAGTCCGTGGAGTACGGCTGCTTGGATCTTGTAGAGCACACCTGCCACATGGCTGCACACTTCTCCAAGTCCTGCCATGCATTGGCAGTGGGCAGACATAACACTGCCATTGGGGTGGCAGAGCACCCATGCATTATACGACTTTGAAGCCGTCTGACTGGCCTGTACCTCTGCCTTCACGAAAACACCACTGGTATCCACTGAGCAGAGCTTGAGTGGGCCAACATGACTAGACAAAAACACATTCCAAGCATCTAGTGACTTGAAAGCTTTCAAGTTGTCGGACGTGAAAGTGCCAGAAGTGGAGACCAGATACGCAAATATATCTGGAAACAGCACGAGTGGGAGCTTCTCGAAACTGTCCGAGATCCAGTAGGCCTCATCGATCTTGTACGGATCAGGAAATACCTTCTCTCCCAGGCAGAGCTTTGCTTTGTATCGTGAGGAGTCGTACATCACGAACAAAAACACAAACTAGAGAAAAAACTATCGAAAACAGCTCTCACAATCCGATAAACCACGAGACGCCAGTGCAAATGGCCGCGATCGCCCGGTTTGTTTTGCCTACCAGTCAGCGTTGCCAGTTACGAAAAATAGTTTGTGACGTCACCGTGGAGGCCTCTATTGATTTACGTATGGCTGGCCGCGGCGCCGTCGGCGGGGGCCAGCTGACGGCCCGCCGTCGGCCGTCGGTCGGCGCCCAGTCGGTGGCGACGCGTCGACGACGACGCAGCGACGGCCGACGGGACCGACGGACCTCCGGTGGGACTGATAATAGCGGGCTGTGGATGGGGGTGGATCGGGAAGGACTGAGATATTCTGGTGACAAGATTGTGTTATTCACTGCGAAGCTGAGCTCTGGCTCACCTATCCTGGACATTGGACAAGGCTTGAAATGCAGACCTGAACAGTGGTAGAGCCTGAAGCTCCCCACTGGGACACGACGGCGCCACTGGGTGACTGCACCCGTGTGGAGGGTCGGAGACCCGAGAATAGTCACGGATCGTGACAGAAGGTCCGCTGGAACTGTCTCTTGCCTGTGTCTGCGCAGGAACGGAGAGGCGGAAGAAGGGAGCGGGTGGCGCGAAAAGGGCCTGGCACATCAGCGGTTGGGTATTTCGCGCCGGAGCTGAGTGCCCTCTTCTCTCTGTCCTGGTGAGTACACTGTAACGGGCTCTGGCATTCGCAGAGAATAAAGATGAGCTTGTCTTGACATTTGTTAGATGGTATTATTACACTGCTTGCTAGGTGGATGATTTTGTGGTGCCATCAGTCGTCGTATTCTATGAAAGCCCCGGTTAACAGTTACTGAAGCCTTTGGCCATGTTTTCTATTGCAATGGAGGAGGATTTATCGTCTGTATGGCTTCATTCACATGTCCGCCCCGCGGGCTGTTCTTTATCCCACCTGGCTCTCCCTTCTCCCGGCGCGGGCTGCGCTGTGTTCCGCCAGCATCTGCTCTCCTCTGGCGCGGGCTGTCCTGTGTCCCGCCTGCCTTTCCCGTCACCCCGCCGTGGCTGGGGAGGCTCACAAAACAGCCCCGGTGTCGCCGTCCGGACGAGCGTCCCATCTGGCGCGCGCCGGGTTGGGGTCCCGGTGCAGCAGCGGAGGGGCTAGGGCGGAGAGCCGCGGGGCCAGGATGGAGAGTCGAGTGATCCCTGCAGCCAGCTGGAGTCCAGTGTTAAGACTGCATATAGCTGGGGTGTCCTTACGGCAGCTGGGAGGTATGGCCGCCAGCGGATACAGAGCTGAGGGGCACGGGCAGCAAGCTGATAGGCTATGATAGAGAGCGAAGGGGTCCGTGTATCAGCTGAGGGACCAAGGCGAAAAGCCGTGCGGTACCGGTTGTCCGATGAGGGTTCCTTATGGTTCTTTGGTCTCACTGAGGGCCATGCAGCATTCATGTAATTCCTGTTTAGGAGTTCTGGGCTCTCCCATCACACCGAGGCCCTGCGGACAGTTCATCTGTTCCGGTCTGTGACGGCTCGGTTCGATTTCTGTTTGCTCTTCTGTCTCCCGTCGGCACCCACCGGACAAAGAGCCAGTCGCGTGGCCAATGGAGCCGCAAAAAGCCGACACGCCGCATCGAGTATTGATCGAGATTTGGCGACACGCACGGCTTCAGGCGCATTGCACAACTCTGCGCTTTGGTGGGGTGTTATTGTTGAGTTCGTTGCCTCTAGACTTGGACAACACAGGTTTTATTATGAGGTCGTTTTGAGCAGACATGCGGAAATGCCTTCAGTATTCTAATAGAAATGATGCAACGGCTGGGGCTCTCCTTGGGTCGCCCATTTCAGCGTTGATTACAACTGCAATCGCCTAGACGTCTTTATGCTGCTTGGTGCAAATATTGCCACAATGTCAACTGTTGTTCACTAGCTCAGCAAGAGCTGCCGCACAAACACAGCAAAAAACGAACAATTTGGCCCAGAAAACACGTAGCTACTGTCTAACGTGTCGCAGTGCCCCTTTCACTACAGCAGACTGTCTGTGGTATGGCCGTGATCGTGCATCGGCCGTGCCTACGCAATGCGAGTGAACTGAACGGTGTGGCGGCGCCTGCGGTTATTGTGCCACCCACTCCCAGACGGGCCACCCCACCCACGCCCCAGGCACGCGGCTGATCCACCGTGGGGAATGGGCTGGTTACCGTTCCTAGCTGTGATATCGTAGGAAGATCTGTTACGTGGGCTGCGCCGTGAATCTGGCAAGGCAGTGCTCCTGCCCAAGATTATGGATTTGTCTGCCACTTGGGAGCCCGCAACTAGGCATATCTTCACTAGTGGCTATAAAATTCAGTATCTGACAATAGGTATTGGTACTATGATGAGGACATCTTGCTTTGATTGTGCATTTTGGACATAGCAAGTGGCCATATATTATGTAATAAAAACGTTATCATTACGTTGACTATGGCTGAAATGACTCCCAACCCATGAGTGGCCGAAAGGTAGGAATGCGATGAAGCTTTGCCTTCTACCACCTGCCATATACCTATACGACTCTGGCCATGCCGCGCTGCCCTTAGAATGTCTTCGCTGCCGTGGCGTCTGCGGTTGGCTCCGTGACCGACGGCATTAGCCTGAGGCGTTATTAGTGGGCCTGTCGGCGGCGGTCCGTCCTGCCCGTGCGGTTCGGTCTGCGGTCTGTCATCGCCTAATGCGGGTGGCAGTGGAGGGGAGCGTCGCTGCTGAACTGAATCTTGGACTCAGGATGAGAAATATGGGAAAGCTGTTCCCACGCAGTGTGTATGCCAATTACTTAAATATTTCACATATGCAAGGAAACATCGATTGCGTATGCGTGTTGCACAGAGCTTGCATAAAAGAAATCCAAAGAATGCTCGTGGCTTTTCGACTTGGTCAACAGGGTGCGTTCTCAACTTTGTGGAGGTGGACGTACCCAATGCTGTCGTTCTTGCCATGAACGACTACTGCTGTCACTCGGTCTGACTGGTGGGACAGTGGTGAGACGTTTGTGTGACAGTTGCGTCGGCTGCGAGTTGTGACAGTTGTGACAGCTGTGCGGCAGTTGGACAGTTGTGACAGCTATGCGGCAGTTGAGGCAGTTATGACTGGAATTGGGTTCATATTTAGAGACTCGGTTGTACCGAGTGCTGACTGCTGTCCTGGTATGAAGGATCTACACAGACCACCCGAAACAAATCTCAGTGCCAAACCACTGCTAGTTGACGTTCCGAAAGGTTGGGTGCCTCTTTCTGAGCACCAGCTGGCCAGGAGCACTCCGTGGTCCTACTCCTTTATGTACCTACGGATGGAGTAAAGACGTCCTTTTTAATGTTTCCTGCTAATCGATAAAAGTGACCAAATTCTGGAGACAGGCCATGGGAAGCGGCTCTCGTAAGAGCGACAAGTATTTTGTATAGCTTCAGTTCTGTATCCAAATCTTGAAAGTCGCTTATGCCTACCGTGGCGGTGGCATAAGCCTACCGTGCACTCACATGTCTGGATGCAATGACTTCCGCACTGTCTTCTTTGTAGCTTATCCTGGCTGCCTTGTTGATTGCATGGTATAGTGCATGAGAAGAGGCCACTTACCATGATGTACCGACATCTGAGACAGTTCTGAGAACTGGCTGAGGTCACTGTCTTCTGACCGCTCTCTACCTCGGACACCGCCCCGCGCCGCGCCAGAACTCCCAACTCCCCACCGGACTATGACGGTGATACATTGATCTTCGGCCACTGAACGGCCGGCCGCATTTGTGCCCGCCTCGCGCCCCGCAACTAATTTGATTTCTGGATCTGGGGCTCAGCGTGGCACTGGCCCTTACGTCGGTGGCGTCGGCAGTGGGAGGGTTTCTGAAGGGGCCAGATGACCGAATGAAGGGGGAGGAGGGCGAAGCATTTGTATTCCTACAGAGAAATTGTTTCGTTTGTTGACACAATAGGTATAAATAAGTACAGGATTTATATCACACAAATGATATACTTAAAATGACATGCTAGTCAGACAAGTAGATGAGACACATGAGACAGCCAAAATCCATGCGTAACACAAATTCTTAGTATTTGTCTCGAGACATTATTCTCGAGACATTATTTAAGAGCACTCCCGGAACACCTTCCCTGCAAGCTCGAGAGCACGAGCTTAAGTCCACTTAACCGAACACCCTTCCGCTTCGAGTGACACGTGGGCTGCTGTGGGCTTGTTCCGGTGGCTGCCTCGCCTGCTGTTGTGCTACGTGGGCTGGATAGGTGACAAGATAGTCAAAGTCATCTTGCTGTGGGTTGTTGCAGTTTGACTTGGTATGGACACTGGCTTTTGGAGCGCGAGACACGAGCTTCAGGTGACGCCTGTTTCGACGATAGGTCGTTCCTCGGTGACTGATCAGGTAGCTTCGAGGGCCTAGTCTCTTTGTTACCAATGCCTTCGTTTCCGACCACTGCTTTTCCGCTTCTGTTCTAACTCTGACATGATCACCCCGCTCCAGGACAGGCAGCGATTTGGCCCCGTGACGCTTCCGGTAGCGCTGCTCCGTCCTCTTCTTTTGCTGCATGTCTCTCGAACGGGCCTCTTTTAGTCCGTCCTCTTCAGAAGTGAGCTTGGGTAGTCGCGTCCGCAGCTCACGCCCCATCAGCATGTGAGCAGGTGAATGGCCAGTCGCCTCAATGGGTGTGGCTCGGTAGTTCAAGAGCGCTAGGTGTGGATCCTTTTGTTTGAGTACCCACTTCGCGGTGCGCACTGCACGCTCTGCAGCTCCATTTGCAGACGGCGTGTGCGGATCTGTGATGCGGTGACTGAAACCGTAGGTAGAGGAGAAGTCCCGAAATGTCTGAGAGGTAAACTGCGTGCCACCGTCTGAAGTCACACAGTCAGGGATACCGTAACGGCTGAAGAGCGACTTCAAGCGCTCTATCACTGCTGCAGCTGTGGTGCTCGGAAGCTTCTGTATCTCTATAAAGCGGCTCAATAAATCGACTGTGACAAGGTAGTCAGCGTTGGCATGATGACAGATGTCAGTTGCTATAGTTCGTTTTTCTTAAGTTTGCCCCTCACTGTAAACGTCTTTTTGAACACAGCACGAGAATTGCTAGCTGAATTACTGAGAAAACTGGTTGGCGCACATTGTATTGTAGATATGAATAATATTTTCAAAATTAAGCTTTGAACACCGACGATTTAACGTTATGTTAAGCGCCGTGCAATTTATTTATTAGTTCACACATAATTCCTGAGAAGTCGTCTATCCCTGTGGGGCTGTAGGTATTGGCAAATACGAGCTACGAGTCTGTGAAATAGTAAATAAATTTGATCAAATTGATCGTCTGTCAAATCTGGTCAAATCAATGTGCGCCAACCAGTTTTCTAAGTAATTCAGCTAGCAATTCTCGTGCTGTGTTCAAAAAGACGTTTACAGTGAGGGGCAAACTTAAGAAAAACGAACTATATGTGCGACCATGCTTTCGTCGGCACTGCTGTCGATAGAAGAGGCTCCTTCTTCTGGATAGGCGAGTTGACTTGACAGAAGTTGCAAGCTGACACATATTGCTTCAAGTCTGCACCAATACCTGGCCACCACACCGACGCATGGGCTCGTTCTCGGCACTTCCCTATTCCGAAGTGGCCGTCGTCGTGGATTTTGCTGATGATGTCTGCTTTCATGCGAGTTGGTATCACCAAACGCTTACCATTCATGATCAGGGGCCCGAACGTCATGTGTAGCACGCTCAACTGACCTCTTTCCTTGAAAAACTCGCTGAGGGGGCCCGTCTTCGCACTCTCTCTCCATCCATTCTGAATTTGCTCTGACACTGCTCTCATCAGGTCATCCTCTTGCTGACATTTGCTGATCTCTTCCAGCTTCTTCACACTGGCAGGGAGGTCGCTGAACACTCCCGTACAGTGTTCGAATACTTCTTGTTGGATGACCTCGCCTACGTGGTCTGCAGTCATTTTCAGAGGATTCCTCGACAGATAGTCTGGAATACAATGTTCCTTTCCTGGCACGAAGACGGCTGTACCGTTGTAGTGCATGAGCCGCATCAACATCCTCTGGCATCTGAGAGGCGCGTCTTCCAGGTTCTTTGAATTGATGAGAGGGATGAGTGGTTTGTGGTCCAATTCCAGTCGGAACTCTGGAAGACCTGAGAGAAACATGTGGAACTTTCCACACGTCCATGTCGCTGCTAGCAGCTCTTTCTCGATCTGGGCGTATCTCTTCTCCGTATCGGTCAGTGTTCTGCTGCAGAATCCCACGGGCTTCATGCCCTTTCCGTGGCGCTGGAGGATACAACCTCCTATTCCAAAACTACTCGCGTCGGCGCTGACGACCGTCTCTTTTGATGGATCGAAGAATGCCAGCACGGGTGCCTGTGTCAGCAGATTCTTTACCTCTGCAAGTGCTTTTTCTTGCGGATACGACCAGTTCCATGCTGTATTTGTTCTGAGGAGCTCATTCAGTGGCTTCAGTGTTTCCTGCACGCGCGGAACGAATCTGCTAAGATGATTGATCATCCCCAGGAGTGATCGCAGTTGCTTTGTGTTTGCCGGTGCTTCTAGAGCTCGGATTGCTTCCAGCTTCTCTGGGTCGACTTGCAGTCCCTCCTGAGAAATCTTCATTCCCAGGAAGAGGACGCTAGACTGACGGATCACGCATTTCGACTGGTTTAGCTTGAGACCAGAGGCTTCAATGCGCTCCATCACGGCTTTCAACCGCGCGTCATGGCTCTCCTCGTCACCGAAGCACATGATGTCATCCATGTAGCAGATAACTCCTGGTAAATCTTTGAGAGTCTCTTCCATTTTTCGTTGGAAGCATTCCGGAGCCATGTTGAGCCCCATCGGCAGGCGGAGAAAGGCCTTTCTTCCAAACGGGGTAATGAATGTAGTCAGCAGAGAGCTCTCCTCGTCTAATGGGAGCTGATAGAATCCGGAGACCGCGTCTAGCTTTGAGAACAGCGTTGCTCCGCTGAGCTTTGATGTGAGCTGTTCCAGAGTCGGTATGGGAAATATTTCCCGTTTTACTGCTTTATTCAAGTGCTTGTAGTCGACTGTGATCCTGACCTTCCCTCCAGCTTTCCTGACAGGCACCATCGGGGAGCACCACTCTGTTGGGCACGTGACGGGTCTGATGATGCCCGCTTCCTCCATTCTGAGCAGCTCATCTTCAACAGGCTTCATGAGAGGGATCGGAACCTTCCGCGCCGACGTGACAGCACATGGCTTTGCCTCTGCAGACACCTCCAGCTTGACTGGTTGAGTTTTCATCAGGCCGATTTCTCCGTAGACGCTCTGCTGAATGCCGTCTACGAATCTCAGAATTCCCAGCTTGGAACAGGTCTCTCGTGATAGCAGGTTCTCACATGTGTCAACGACATAGAAGGCCTCCTGCGTCAGTAGCATCCCTTTGTATGAGATGTCAGCGCTGAACATGCCGACGATATCCAGTGCGTGTCCCACACTCTGCAGCTTTCTATCGGCTGGTTTCAGCTGAACTGGATCCTTGAAAGCCAGGAACTGACGTCGGGTAAGCACGTTTACGTCGGCACCGCTGTCAGCTTTAAAGGAGCACTGCTCTCCGTGGACAGCCAGCTGCACCCGCCAATCTGATACGCCGCCACTTTCTGTTTCTCCTAAAAATGTCATCTTCTCGCTTTGCTCTGTCTGCGGTGATGCACTTGTCTCAGTGACATGACCGGGAGCTTTTGAGAGACACACTGCAGTAAAGTGGTCTCGCCTCCCACACTTGGCACACGTTCTTCCACGGGCCGGACACTCACTGGGACTGTCGTGTCTTGCGCGCCCGCAGTATTTGCAGGTCGTGCTTGTACTTATGTTTGCTCTGTTTTGGTTTGGCTTGTATCTTGGCTGGAATTTCTTCTGTTGCTCATGCCCTTTGTGTGCTTTTTGTCTCTTTTGATAATGAGTTTGGTACACTCTTTGGACACTCCCGATTGATTCCTTTGATCTGGTGTCACCCTCAATGATGTCCGTGTTTCTTAGCATCTGTATAACTGTATCGAGAGTAACAGCCTCTTCCAGCGCCTTAAGCTGAACCTTCTTTGAAAGTTCCTTGTCTTTCATCCCAGCCAATAACCGGTCCCTTAGACGCTCCTGCTTATCGGCGAAGTCACATTTATCAGCTTGCGTGAACAGGGCACGGATGTATTGCTCATTGGACTCCCATTCCGCTTGGTTGCGCTGTTCAAAGCACTGTCTTTCGGCGATGTGGTTTCGCTTCGGAATGAAGTATCCATCCAGCTTATCTATCACTGCTGCAAAAGTGTTTGCTTCACCTACGAAAGATTGCACTACGCCCTCGGCTTCGGGTCCCATGCTGTAGATGAGTGCTGATACTTGAATTTCTTCATCTTCTTTGTGCAGAGCTGACGCTAGTCTGTATCGCTTGAAGCGTTCTCTCCAGGCAGGCCACTGATCTGGCGATGTAAAATCGAAGTTATCTGGTGGCTTAAACGAACCAGGCATGATTGGCTCTTGGATGCCAGGTGCTCTCTGTTTGCTTTTCTTGCTTCTCTTGATTTCTTGCTTTTTACTGTTTCTCTTGCTTGCTTGACTTTTTACTTTTACTCGTACTGGATATGCTTGTTTCTTTTCTTTTGTTGAAATATTCGCTTCATACCTATACACTTGGTTGCTTGCTGCTTTGCTTGCTTGCTTGCTTTGTTGTGAATATTTCTCGTACCTAATCGTGTCTTTTGCTTTCTTTTTTTACTATCTTACGTTACATTTTACTAATGGAAATCCTGTCGGCTGCGCCATGTTTCGTTTGTTGACACAATAGGTATAAATAAGTACAGGATTTATATCACACAAATGATATACTTAAAATGACATGCTAGTCAGACAAGTAGATGAGACACATGAGACAGCCAAAATCCATGCGTAACACAAATTCTTAGTATTTGTCTCGAGACATTATTCTCGAGACATTATTTAAGAGCACTCCCGGAACAGAAATAAAGGTAAATAGCCTAGTATTGAAGAGGAATGTAATAAGAAGGACCGATGACGATGATTAGCATTCGTCACATTCATGTGCTGGGTGTTGTGGCGACACTTGCGGAACTGAAGTATGCTACTTGATTATTGTCCTGTTTGGAACGTCGTGTTCTTTGTCCGATTTGCTTTGTCATTTATTTTTGTTCAAAGCTTTTTAAAAGCCCTTGCTTGAGATGTGTATTGGGATTGACACATTTAGTTTGACTATCCTTTGTACTCGCTTTTGAAACGAATTTTCAATTGTCAAGCATTTCTTTTAGAATGTTCTATAAAAATCTCCTCCACTGGTACACTATCTGAAGTGGTTCCTAAGCTGAAACAAGTTCTGACGCAGTAGCGGCAGTACCCACTATTTTAAGTAAAGCTATCCCGTGGGTTTGAATTTTGCCGGATGTTAATTTTCCTCTCCGTTTGCTGACCTATTTTAGAGCACACAGACCTCTTGACAGTAGTATTTACGGCCAAATGTTAGAGCCAGGTGCTTCATGCATCATGCAGTTCTGAGCTTAGAGCTATTCTGGGAAGATTCTTCAGCGTATGGAAGTTGACTGAGCTATCGCCTCCAGTCTCCTCCCCGTGTGACGTGGGGACGGTACCATCCCCCGTGCCCCGATCAATCGACGTACCATCTTCTCGACGGGTAATTGGGACATGCATTGTTACCGCCGTCAGCGACCGAGCAACAAGTAGGGGCCGGCTGGTCGGCCGGCGCTGCTTGTCTCGCTCCTCTGCATCCTCCTTGGCTCGTCTCTGAGTGCAGGCTAGATGGAGGGGCGGCATCTGTCGGGCCTGAGGACCTGTGACTGTCTGTGGTAGCGCCGCGTGCCGTCGGCTGTCGCGCTCGTGCGCCCGGTGGTGATCGCTTGCTCGTCGGCGGCGACGCTGGCCTTCCGGCGACGACCGGTTGTCATGGAGACAACCAGCTGTGGCTGTCGTCATGGCAACGCGCCGGCTGGCGAGACGCCGCCGATGGCCACGGTTATCCGGGCACGGCACGGGCTCGTAATTCAGAGCCACGCTCTATCTACCCTGCCGCGCCGCTGCCGCCGGCCCGCACCCTTCCAAATCGCGCCGCCCCGCCCGCACCGGCTGCGGGCGACACTTTTTATGCGCTCATTTAGGAAGCCGGTCGCGTCCTGAAGCTAAATCTGAGAGCTCATATCGCTCTGCACAGAAATTGCCAATTAAGGGCCTCATAAAATGGGGTTATAAACAGAAAAAGACGGAAGTGACGCGCTGCGAAAAAGAATAGCGCTGCGTGGATTTGATTTGAGAGAGTATGAGGAGGGTGTGTTTTGAATGTGGGCCAGGGGACTGTTGGAAAGGGAATGCTTTTGTTCCTTGTTTTGATGCGTCGTGTTTCGCTGAAGGTCTGTGGCTTCGTGCTTTTACGCTTTTTGCAGTGCCACACAGGGAGTGCCACAGGGGCGGATCCAGAAAATCTCTTAGGGAGGGGCCATTAGAAACCAGGAGGCCCCCCCCATAATCCCACCTGTTGGAGGCCCCATCTTCCCACTTGTTGGCCCCCCCCCCAAAAAAAAACTGCGTCTATTGAGCTTATCTAGCTGTTCAGGCAACATCTCAACATCTGTGCAGGCTTGGAGGCCCTCTGTGCAGGTTAGGAGGCCCTGTAAAAGTGGTCATCTCTGTGAGTATAAGAGACCTCCAAGTTATGAAAAGCTTTACCAATCTTCTAACAAAGAAGTCTTCTCAGCTAGTCTTCTAAGAAATAACTAAGTGGGTAGGTTAAAAAAAACTAATCGGATTTCGGCCACTTTATTTTCAGGAGGCCCCCTTTTCAGCTTTTTAACTTTTTAACTTTTTATTTTATTTTTGAAAAAAAAATCGGCCAAGGGGGGGGGGCCATGGCCCCCATGGCCCCCCCTTGTATCTGCGCCTGGAGTGCCATTAATTTAGGTATGTTATTGACTTACTGATTCATAAATCAACTATGAACGGACAATTATTTTCAGATGGCACATTACGCCCTGTTCCATTCATGGATGCATCCGCACTAAGATTCTGCAGACTAGGGTCGATTCGTGGTCTCTTGGTATGCGGTTCATCTGACCGCACAAGATCCTCGCTCTTTCAAGTGTTCCAGAAATCCTTCTGAGTATTACACTGGGATCATAGGCCAAGTCATGTTTTCATGCCCCCTGGTCATAACCCTTGCCCCAATACCCTCATTTGGTCAATTCCTTCGCCCTGAGGTGACTGAGGCCAGGGCATCGAGTTCCCTCTTTGATCACAGCCTTGCCCGAGGTCCGGACCTCCACACACCCGACTTTTTGTCGATTCCCGACACTCGCCTTGACCGCCCTATTATCCCCACCGTGTCGTCGCTGGCTGCATGACGACCTCTGTGGACGGGCTGGAATTTTTCATCACCATTCCGTCGGCGCCATCGCTGTCGTGACGGGTCGGCGCCGACCT